GAAAACTACAGGCTGGGATGTTAATCCATATAAGAGTCAACAATAGAAAGAGTGACAAAATGAGCGACAAAAACACACTGAATTTCCACACTTAATTTAGGGGGAATCTACAGAGGGGTGGGTGGATGATCTGACTGACGTTGTCGTGCTTAAGAAGCAGCTGGACAGACGGATTTACCAAAAGGGCTGAACTCTCCAAAACATACATCAACATAGCTTCACTGTTAAGTCTCAGTCTTGCAACATGTGGTGTTCAGAGAGAGGGCATCCATAAAGAACCAGAGCAAAGGTACTGCACCTTAAAGGGACAGTTTACCCCAAAATACAGCCTCCATACATATCTCCAGCACTCGGCAACTCACACCAAAACAAACTAATCTGATCAATAGCTCTACAGGTAAGAGGGAAATATGTATTTTTGGTTTGGGGGTGAACTGTCCCTTTAAATGCATACATAAGAAGTGAAGAGTGAGCGCACTAGATAGACCCATTCCCAATATTACTATCTATATATTCTAGCCTCCAGCATGTGGTGCATCATGACCTCACACCCCATGAGATCAGGGGGCGTCTAAAACCTTGTCTGGATGACTTGAACCTGAACGCACAATATCATGAAAGCAAATAAGTGTGAGCTGTGAGACGTAGCAACATCTGGACGGTGCATATTTTCAGTAGGAATGTTTGTGTGTCTCTTTGATGTTTAGTGAAATGTGCCTGGAACACACCGGCTTTCTTCGCTGAGAAGCTCCATAAGGCGATGGAGGTGTGTTTTCTTTCTTACCATATGTCAGAGTGCACGTGTGTGTATGTATGTGTGTGTGTGTGTGTGTGTGTGTGTGTGTGTGACGGTACCACAGACTTTTCTGCTGAGTGAAGTTTTCCTTTTCTGTTTTGCTTATGTAATTTAGAATAATCCTTACCCACTAACATGGTTTAGATTGCTTGTAATCTTGCTAACAAATGCAATTTAGTTTTAGTTTTTGGGTAACTGCACTGTTTGTCCTTCTCACTCAGAGTCCCAGATGGCCATGGATTTCTTAATTATCACATTTGAGTCTTTCTTTCAAATGCCTGCCTTGAAAATTTGTTTGAAATGGGACAAGAATTAACATGTCTGTCATAATTTGCTGCACGCGCATTAAAATAACATGCAAAAACTGACTTTACTGATCAGCATTGAGCTTGTAAATGAATCCTTGTTTTCCAGCTGACCCTCAAATGTCAGTATTTGGAGCTCTTGTCACTTAAAAATTGTCAGCCTCTGCAAAATACTGCGTAAAGGTCCAGTGTGTAGGGTTTCAGGGGATATTTTGGCAGAAATTGAATATTTTTAGCATGTTTTCTTTAGTGGATAATCACCTGAAAATAAGAATTGTTGTGTTTTTGTTAGCTTAGAATGAGCTTCTACTGGGATTGCTATGTTGCACCGCCATGTTTCTGCAGTGTCACAGAACAGACAAACCAAACTGGCTCTAGATAGGTCCGTTTAAGCTACGTGTCGGCCATCCTCTGCCATGGGAGCGTTGGAAAAACATTGATTTTTTTAATGTGAAACTGCTTTCAGTGTTTTAACCGGTTTAAAACACCAGGCCCGTTTGTTTTGGAGAGGAAGAGACCTCTGCAGAGAATTTGGCTCCTGCTAAAACCCTCCTGAACATCAGGGGCTGTATTCACAAACATTCTGAGAACACTCTCAGAGAGCCTCTAACTTAGACTAAAAACTTTTGGTAAGGAGTCCTAGCTTAGGAGTAATTTAGGAAAGTTCTCAGAGCAGCTCTGAACTAAGGTTTTCCTTAGTGAGCAGGTGTGGTTGACCCCATTGTTAGGAATGATGTATTATTTTAACAGATGTGAGTGGTTGTCAGAGACACACCCACTGTATGCCTGCAGGATAAGAAACTCTTAAACCTCTTAAAAGTCCTCCTCCCTGCTCTAAATAGTTTTTCACCTCAGGAGCTCTTTTAAGGTCTAAGATGCTCTGTAAATAACTTTTGTCTTTACATGGACCTACTCTTGACTTTAAGGGGAAATTCTAAGAAAACGTCACAACTCTAACAACTTTCTAATAATTTTGTCACAAGGAGCAACTCTTAGCGCTAGGAAGCTTTGTGAATACGGCCCCTGGATTGTAAGTTATCAGAGAAATAATGTGAGCACAGATTAGTAAGTGCAAGGCTCATGGCCTGTTTCTGACAAGCCAAACAGCATCAGAGAAACATTGATTTGTAACGTGAAACTGCTTTATTCAGTATTTTTACTGGTTTAAATCACTGTGTCTGTTTGTTTTGGAGAGCAAGAGACCTCTGTGGATGATTTGACTTCTGGTAAAAACCTCCTGAACAAAGAACTTTTAAGGAAATTCTAACCGGGAGAAGTTTCAGCTGGTTGCAATCTGCAATCCTCTCCACTAGATGCCACTAAATCCCCCTAACTCTTATACCATTGACCTTAAACTGAAGTGATTGTTTGTACAGTCAATCAGATTTAGTATGTAGTAATGCTACATAACTATACCTTGACATTATACAAATATTGAATAAGAACACACAGTGTGTAGTAAACCTGCAGGGGGAGGTGATTTGCATGCTCTCTACCCGTTCAGCAATGACTCCTCTGCTCCGTTCTCACAGGGCTATGGCACATGTGAGGACACACTCATCAGGGTGCTGGTGAGCCGCTCTGAGATCGACCTGAAGAAGATTGTGCAGGAGTACAGGGCCATGTTTGGCATCAGCCTACAGGAGCACATACTGGTACTATGACATATTTGATTTTCCTGAATGGCTGCCTTCATGTTCTGTTTTCACTCATTCAGTACAGACACAAAGACAGTATAGTATCTGGGTATATCACCTGAACAACTCTTTGTCTCTGTTCCACAGAGGGAGACTAAAGGACATTATGAGACCATCCTGCTGGGACTGTGTGGACCTCACTGAAAACCACTTCACTGGAAATGGAGACCAGCCATTTGATGTCACTGAAATCTCACATCTATCAAAAATGATTATGGATGACGTATCTAATCTGTTTTATCTTTTTGATGTAATCCCACCAACAATAAAAACCATATGATACATAATCATATACTTCCTGTCTGTTGTTTGATGTTTCTCTTTTTGCTTTCATGTGTTGTCAGTCTTTTTATTTTTAACAATGAATCCTCTCTACTTGTATACTGAGCTGTAGTTCATAACATGGTTCCTGGTTCACTGGTTAAAGATGTGAAGATGAATGAAAAGGAAGCTGGAGCAGCAGAAAAAAAAGGCTCAGAAAGTTTGGAGTTTCAAGTTTAAAATGATTAACATTGGAATACTGCCCAAACTACACAAGTATACAATTTTGAGTCTGAATTATGCAATAATTAATTAAAATTTGGACTTTAAGTTCAATCATAATAACCATGAAATACCAGTGGTGGAAGAAATACTTGGATCTTTTACTTAGGTCAAATTAATATTACTGCAGTGCAGAAATACTCTACTACTTGCTGTTACAAGCAAAAGTCTTGCATTCAAGTGTGTAAGTGAGTAAAATGCAAAAACATACACATCAAAATATACTTTAAGTAAAAATATACTTTTCGTGTTCATCACTTTAATGTTGCAGCTGGTAAAGGTGAAGCTCATTTGTTGGGCAGCTTAAACTATATTAATACACCATAATTTATTACTTTTTTGTATTAATTATCAGAATCTGTAAAGTAACTAAAGCTATCAAATAAATGTAGAGGAGTAAAAATAAAATTTTTGCCTCTAAGATGGAGAAGAGTATAAGTATAAAGCACCAGAAAATGGAAATACTCAAGTATGGTATACTTCAAAATTGTTATTAAGCACATTACTTGAGTAAATGTACTTAGTTACTTTCCACCATTGTTTAAATTTTTGTAATCTTTAGAAATGAGAGATTCAGTTATTTTTTTTTTAAAAAAAAAATAAAGATTGAAAGATATGAGTCACATTTTATTGAGATAGTCAAACTATTAGAGAGAAGGTTGATATTTTGACTTAAAACAAAATTATGAGATGCTCAGGTCAATATTCTAAGTAATTTTAAGTCAGAATCATGGCTTTAATGTATCATAACTTGGAATTCGTATATAATTTTCACTGAGTGATTTTGATTTTATTTTTATCATGCCTAACACGTCATGTATTAATGTTTACTGGTGTAAATCAGCTTGATAATATTTTGATAAAAAATAAATGAATAAACACGAAGAAAATACAAATTTAATGAAAGATTGTGTATCAGAATTCAGTCTGTAAGTGGGCCAGCCTTTAGAGATTGTTTTACAATTAAAACAATAAAGTAAAACACAAATGTGTAGCGTATTTTTTTTAAGATAATTTTGTACACAATGTACACACAAAACTCTACATACAGAGAAAAAAATAAAGGAAAATATAATAAAATAATAATAATAATGATAAGAAATATTAATAATAATAAATAAAAAGTAATACAAATCCAGAATACTGTATGATGGGTTCATATAAAATTAATCAAACACACAGAATTAGTTTTAATTGTCTCCTTTTTCTTAAGACCTCTTAGTATGGTGTCATATGAGGTTTTTAATAGAAAAGTCCAAAATCATCTCTTCTTGTAAATGTACTATTGTCAGGAGAATAAAATTAACTGGCCACAAAATGTCTATTTTTCCACTTCATTGCATAAAAATATCTTTATTAACTTAATTACCCAGTCCTCCTATTTATATAATATTTAATATCCATCCAAAATATTTTCATAGCCTGTACATACAGTTGTTTCTTCTTCTACTTCACATAAAGTACAAAAATATTCAACATGAATTTAAAATCTCTCCATTGTCTTATTTTGCTGGATATATTTAAAGCATTTTTTTAAAGGAAACCTCGCTAACTTTTTTCAGTTTCTATCCACCAGTGACGTCATCACCGACGCAGAACCCTGAACTGCGCAGGAGCAACGTTTACGAACACACGCACGTGACGTGGACTATTTACCGTGTCCGGAAGTGCTGTGGCTTTTTTTGTGTGTCCAGCTTGGCTGTTTTATCCTCACATTACGGACTCTAGCTGTGATTGTGACGAGCTCAACATAAGAATTAATAATTATTTAGCTCTCACGAGGCGACCGCATGTATTTGTGTGACACAGAGGGAACACAGAGGACGTGTCGCGGGTAAAAAGTTTGTAAATCTAACTTAACTGGCATGCCGGATGGCTAACGTTAGCTAGCATGCTAACAGGCTGAGAAAGCTGCCAGCTGACTGTAGGTTTATTCCTGTGTACATAGCATTTTACAGATTTAATTTAAACGGAAGAATGAATAGGAGCCAGGAGAAGTCCAGTCAGACTCTTCACCGGACTGCGGTTTAATTTTAATATTGAGGTTACAGTGATGATCAGGATACTGGGAACATAAATACTGGAACTGGTCGAGACTGGGTGACTGAAGATGGAAGATAAATACAGTAGCAACGTGCTGTCAGGGGGGAAACTGGGGATGGTGGAAGTGCCCAACTCTAGGTAAGTGTCTGATATTAATCTGAGCTTAATCTCATCCAGCTGGTGTGAGCTATTGTTTATATTACCTTGACATTAAATCAGTCAAGACAGGTCACTGTAGCTGCTTGGTGTGTCCAAACTACACAAGTATACTTAATTTACAATAATATAATCAGAGAAACAACCAATTCCTCACATTTGAAGAAGCAGAAACAAGTGAATGTTTCCCCATTTTTGCTTGATGATTAACTTAAATTGTCAGTTAATAATTAAAATTGTAAATGATTGATTTCTTTGTCAACCTATCAGTCAACTGGCTGATTGTATCACCACGTATTTGGAATACTGGTGCAAAAAATAGGTCAAAAGCTCATTAGGTGTGCATAATATTTAATAGATTTAGATATTAGGTATTTATTTCTAATGGAAATATATCTATAAACTCTGACAGGTGGAAAGACAGAACGAAAGGATTCTACGTCCGGCTGTATTTTGTTTTTCAGTACCGTAGATAATCAAATGTACGTGGTATGATAACTGTCAATTGTCATATCAGGGTATACCATATTAGTATTAGACTTTTATGTAGCTAGGTAAGTCTTGTTGAGATCAGCAATCTCTTTTACAAGGGAGACCTGGCCAAGACAGCATCACACAAATAGTTACAGCCACACAACAACACAATAAAAACATAAAGATACACAGCAACTTGTAGAAATATTAGAGCACCTGTGCACAGTGACAAGACCCAACCGACTCATTCATCCTTGTACTTGAGAGTTTTATGAATGAGTGAAATGAGAGTTTTAAAATCAGGTTGAGAGACCAATTCATGTAGTTTCAAGTGAGAGGAGCAGAGCACATACAAGCTTTCTCTCCCAGCTCAGGCCGCGCACAAGGAACAGACAGCAAAACTATCTTCAGATCTCAGGCTGCAGCTTCAGTCATCTCTGTTCAATCAAAGTACAAATGTACAAAGGGAGTTTATTCAGCATTGCTTTATAAATTAACAAATAATAGCGACTGAGCCTACGACAGGTCAAAGACGGCCAACCAGCCCCGGAACAGCCCTGTTCTTCCAACTACAAAAGCTGTTTGTTTGCCACATGATTTTAGTCAACACATTGTCTCTGTTCAGCCCATCTGTGTGTCTATCAGCTGTGACAACAAGTGTCATGGGGTCCTCCAGCAACAAGGACACTTATTTTCTGTCTATTCATTATTTGATGGGCCATAAGTGTTTGTTAAACCAAACAAGACTTGTCAAAGTAGAGGTGTGAAAAAATTAATATCACTTTAGCCTAAATAGTGTTGTCAAAAATCTAAATTTGCCGATACATGTCAATTCTGAATATTTAAAATGGTTTCAATGCTCATATTCAGCTGTATTGATAAACCAATATCGGCTGTGCTTTCTTGCTTTCTTTTATTGTGAATGTTCAATACAGTCATTCTGCTGTTTGCTGCTACTAATCAAGAAAGAGAAGTCATCATCATGTTTGATATGTATTTAATCAAACCTTTAAGTTTTTTGCCCTCAGTGTCAATTTTAACCATGATACTGAAAATAGTATCATATATCGATAGTCTTCGAGGTGTTGTATTAAAGTTAGAAATTTCAGTATTGTGACGACACTATACCGTGTACCACTGCAGCCCTAAATAGGACATTATTTTTCTGTATCACTCATCTTCAGCACTAATATATTTTTTTGTCCTTTTCCATTTCAGGTTAACCAGATACATAGTTTTACTGGTTATCACAAAGGTCCTCAAGGCTCTTGGGATCTTTGAATCTTACGATATCCTGAAGGTTGTTCACATCGTCCAGTTCATCTTCATACTAAAATTAGGGTAAGAGCTCTGACGCTTATTTTTTTTTGCTTAGGCTTCATTTCAGCCATTGTGTTCAACTTGCACTTGTTAATTTGTATTATTATTATTATTATTACTGTATGTTTTGTATTTATGGACGGTGAACACATGCTGACAGTGATCTCTCTCCTTTCTCAGGAGTGCCGTCGTTCTGCTTTTCTTTCAAAAGCCTTTCTCCTCTGGCAAAGTCATCTCAAAACGACAGGTTTGTTGGATTTCTTCCACTTCTGTTTGTGTGGGATCCAGCTTTTGCTTCATTCTTGGCTCAAAACGTCCTCCGTCGTTTCTCCTTCATTCGACTTAACAGTAGGGACACACAGTGTTTGTTAGATCTTTTACCCACCTGTGAGGGCTAATCTGTTGTCTGTAGTGTTTTAAGCAATTTTAAGGTTGAGCTTTGTAGTAGTAAGATATATTTTTTTCATGACAGACACAGTATCAATGCCACCGTAAAGCCATGGTGTCGACCTGCCATAGTTATTAAACTGTCTTCTTGTTCAATCTGTTTTCTTTGCAGTGGATAAAGTTACTAAAGCATGCTGTTTTCAGCTGTGTCATATCCCTCCTGGGCTTCTTCGGTCTAACTCTGTGTGGACCTCTGAGGTAAAATGTCACCATAAATGAGTGTGTTATTCAAAGCTGTTAAAAACAATAATGCTTTGTGCATGCATGTGAGCATGTTGTTTTAAGTGTGGGTGTGTTTATGTCTCTGTGTATTTGTGCTTATATACAGGGTATTATTAAAACCTGGCTCGTGTCTTTTTACAGGACATTGTTGCTTTTTGAGCACAGTGATGTGGTGGTCATTGCTCTCCTTGGCGTCCTGTTCACAAGCTCAGGAGGGGGGCCGTCCAAGGTAGGAGACCACGAATTCACAAAACTGAAACTTATTTTTATGAAAAAAAAAAAAAGCAATACAGTGCAGGGAGAGGCAAAAAACCCAGAGGGCTTATTCTTGCTGATGCACAGCCTTGGTGTCAGCTCTGTTTTGGTTTTTTTTAAAGGAACGTTTCACCCAAAAACACTACAAAACAGATTGCTGGTTGCAGCTCATGCCAGTAAAATGTACTCAATAACATTTGGTCAAGGTCATTTTGACACTGCCTGAAATGAAACAGCATTTTTAGACTGTGTATACTGCCTCAGATTATCAGTGTGGAAGATATATGTAATATGCATTTGTTTGTCTGTCTAAATGTGTGCAGACCAGAGGCGCTGCTCTCTTCATCATCGCTGTGATCTGCCTCCTCCTCTTTGACAATGACGATCTCATGGCAAAGATGGCGGAGCACCGTATCCTTTGCTCCTTATAAAGGGCATTTTTTTCCCACTGTTACTGACCTGATCTGTTTGTGTTCATCATATCTCTCTGTTTTTATCATGTTTTTAAAAATCATGCTTTTGACCCCTCTCTAGAAGATGCAGTTTTTGCTACATGGCATAATCTTGGCATAAAGTGATTTAATGACTTGTACATTCAAGGAGTATTTGCATCCTATGAACAGATCTCAAAACAGTTCAATTTTTCAAATAATTATTTATTCAGATACTTTCAGATTTGCAGTTTTGTTCAAAATATGACCCCTCAATATCCCTTTCAGCCTATAAGCCCACCCATAGATGCTTTTTCACCCCCACCCCCTACACTAAAGGGTACAATTTCATGTATATATGAGAGAATTTTCTCTCTTCAGAACTCTTCAATTCTTCCTATCAAAATTGCATGGGAGCAGGATTTAGGTTAAGAAATTAACAATGACTTATGGAAGGATATTCTTCTTCGTGTCCATTCCTCGTCCACGTGTGCCAAACAGGGCTTAATTCAATGTAAAATTGTGCACCGCACACATTGGACAAAACTCAAACTCATGTTTACCTTGACTCGTCTTACTAACCAGCTGAGGGACATCATGACAGCGCGCTCACTCATTTCCTCTACACAGCCATCGCGTTCTTAGGGGTTGCAGATCACAAAGTAAGCAAAACACACTTTAAATTTTACATTTGTTGCTTTCTACAGAAGCATAATCAAGTGTTTGTTTTGCTTTCTACATTCATTTCCTCACTCTTGTCTTCCCACCAGGGAGGTGTTGTGCTGCTGGTGGCCTCCCTGTGCCTGAAGGTGGCTTTCCACACGGCCTCCAGGAAACTGTCAGTGGAAATCGGTGGTGCGAAACGCCTCTATGCTCTTGACAACCTGGTCTCTGCTATGGTGCTGCTGCCCTGGGTCATAGTGCTCTCAGCAACCACAGAAGTAAGTGCACAGACCATGTGACAGAATAAGAAATGTGTGAAGTCTGTTTTGTCCTTTTGGAGAAGAGTGTAGAATCATAAAGCTCATAAATTCTGCAGAATTACGCAAAATAAGTTAGAAAATTACAGAGACATAGTGAGCTGTTCTCATTCTCATTTAACTTTACTTACTTTGTAACCAACAAAATGACCAAACTAGAGGTGCTGTTTTAATGATAATGATGTCTCTCTCTTGGTCTGTCCAACACTTTGATCCACAACAAGATATTTACTGGCTAGCTTGCTATAAAGTTTTGTGTCGATAGACTCATTTTTGTCTTTCGTAGGGGTCACAGGGGATGTTAAGGGGAAGATAGCAGGTCAGTACATGCCACACAAAAGTGGTAGACATAATCTGAAAGCTGGGAACCTGGCATAAAACAGTTCACAGGATCCATACTAAAAATGTTTGTACGAACAAAAGCCAAAAATGGTGTCTGCAAATTTTTTTTTGACAATGTCTGCAATCAGGCTTCCACCTTACCATCTGCAGCACCAATTTCCTGTCTCCAAAATGTTTGGAAGCTTGGCAAAGCAAAGTTTCTCCCATCAAGTCTGTTTTTATATATCACAACTTTTGCGTGGGAAGTGGTGTACGTAAATATGTATAAACATTGTGTTTTGGTTTGGCACCTATTCAGACATTTAAAGTTTGGAGTATAAAGAGGCTTTGAACATTTATGATTACAGTATATGATGTCTATTCCCATGCCAGATTATATCACCTTTATGCACAAATTTGGTACTAAATGTAAGCCTTTTTGGCCAGTTGAGGATGAATAGAAAGGATTAACACATTAAAACACTGAGACCTTGAGGAGCACCTCAAAAAATCCATGCAGTGATTTGGTATCAAAAACTATAGAAACTTGCAGATTTTTGTAAGACTAGCGTTTTTGCCCAAACACTTCTGTTCTGGAAACTGCTCAGAAACCATCTTATTGTTAATGTGTCTATGAAAACTAAACATCCTCTGAATGCTCGAGGTCTGTAGTTTGTGGTAGTAAATTTTCATGAGGCTGTGATTATCTTCAAGGCCACAACAGGTCATTTTATACAGCGATACAGCGGCTTCTATGGGGGCTAACATCATCACACATGAATGAAATTGGGCTCACTGATTCCACAAGTCTTAGTTTTCCAGTCATACCCAGTTTATGCAGTTCCAACACTGTTTATGGGCCTCAGTATGCAGAAATATTCAAATGCAATAGGCAAAAATAACACATCTGCACTGCATGCAAAAAAACTTGACCATGACCTTTGCCCAAAATTATACAGGACTACCATAAATTGGGCATATCTGTAAATGGGAGACTCATGGGTACCCATGGAAGTCATTTTCATTCAGATATCTTGAGGTGGGAGGTCAAGGGACCCCTGTGAAAATGGCCATGCTACTTTTTCCCTCTGCAAAATTAAGCCTCACTTTGGAGTGTTATTTAACACCCTTTAAACAACAACAAAAAAAAAACCTTGGAAAGACAGTAATGTTGGTCGAAGATGCCGACTTCCTAAGGGGACTGGAAGATGTTAACTGAAACTATGTCTGTTTATGTTCAGTCCCTTGGGTAATCTATTTGACCTCTTCATTGACTGTTTTTTGTCTCCCCACCAGAGTAAAGTAGAGTCATGGTCGGCCCTCATCCTACCGTTCGGGATGGTCATCTTCTCCGTAATGATCCTGGAATTTTACGTCGAGGCCATCTGCAACACAAAGATGGAGACGCAAAGGTGCGCCCGCTACGGTGCCATCGCTCTCTTCCTCAGCGCCCTGCTGCTGGCCAACTTCTGGACACATCCACTGACAGACCAGCTGCGCTCCATGAGCAAACCGCCCCAGCAGGTCAGCACGGAGCATGTGCTCTCTGGGGGAGTGCTGGTCAGCGCCATCTTCTTCATCATGTGTAAGTAATGGCTGTAGGAGTCAGCAGGATGAGTTTACTGATGATGAAGCTGAGTCGAAACTGTAGTCATGCTGTAGTTCTGCCGTCATTTAAACAAGTTCCTCTTAATCTTCTGAAGTCAAAATGTGGATTTATTCTCATTACTTTCCGTCCTTCCTCTCTGCAGCATCCAGTATCCTCTCGTCTCCGTCAAAGAAAGGTCAGAAGGGCACCTTGGTGGGTTACTCACCTGAAGGGACCCCTCTGTACAACTTCATGGGCGACGCCCTGCAGCACACATCGCAGTCCCTCCCACGGTTCATCAAAGATTCTCTGAAACAGATCCTGGAAGAGTACGACTCCAGGCAGATCTTCTACTTCCTGTGTCTCAACCTGGTACGTACAGCGTCAGGGAGAGAAAACTCACAACTGACCATTGCGTGAAAGATCAAAGATATCAATGGGATGTGCAATTTACTGAAAGCACAGCACATGTTTTTGGAGATACAATTAAGCATACAGGAAAAATTACGATGGTAAATAGTGCTTTAAAGGGATAGTTTGAATTTTTTGAAGTATTTATCTATATTCAACGTGTTACCTACAGTAGATCAGTTGGCACACCCCCAGTTTGGGGAGGCAAACTGGCAAACTGCAACACGGAAGCAAAGCAATGTGCTGCTGTGGACGGGGACAGCAACAAAATGTATTTTAGCCATCTTGAAAAAAAATAATACCAGTTTAAGTGTCATGACTGGGAGCGTAGGTGACCAGAAGCTCAGCTGTATAACTCAGTGCTAAACAATGTTAAGCTTTAAAAGTTATTAAAAGAATCCTAAAATCAATACTGAAGTTAACTAGCAACCAACAGAGAGAGGAGAGAACTGGGGTGGTATGTGACCTATGAGTTGTCCCAATTAAAATACAAGGTGCAGCATTCTGTACTGGTTGAAGCGGAGCTACTGAAGATTTACTGAGGAATGTAAACAGTGCATTACATTAGTGGGGGTTGTGAGACTACAAAAGCGTGAATAAGATGTTCTAGTTTCTGCTTCTGTTCTGCCTTTAAGAAACTACAGTTCTGAGTTTGTAAAATCTAATAATTCCAGATTGATAAACCAAATTAAGACAGCTATTACATCCACAAAATGCTTCTTCTCTCCTACAACATCTTAGTGACAGTTGTGTTTGAGAAAGATATTTACAACTCAAAGAAACTTTGAGTCAGTGCAGTAGTGACAGAGGACACTGATGGTATGTCCTCAGTTTTTTAGGGGTTTTATTGACCTCAAGAGGACTTTACATTCTACAATTACATACACAGTGCAAATAATGGTCATCTAAAAGTCGATATTTCTGATATTTTATAACTAAACATACTTAAATTTGAATACAATGTTTTCCTAAAAGAAAGCCTTAGGAAGTGCAGAGCTGTCTTTGAGACACAGGGATGTCAAATTTCTCAGAGATATAACTGGACCTGTTAGATAATTAAATATTTCAGATTTATTTTATAGGTTCTAATTGAATTTTAGTTGTTTTGTCAGAAAATATTCATGACTTTGACTCATTCAAACTCTTGTCTAGACTCGGGTTGACTTTAAATTCTCTTATAATTTTGGGTAAATGTAATGTTCTGCATGTTTCAGGCTTTCACCTTTGTGGAGCTGTTTTACGGCGTCTGGACCAACAGTCTGGGACTGATCTCTGACGGTTTCCACATGCTCTTTGACTGCTCCGCTTTAGTCCTTGGCTTGTTTGCTGCCCTCATGACTCGCTGGAAAGCGACCAGGATCTTCTCCTACGGGTAAAGAACATGTGGACAGGCTGGTAGGAGATAATGGAAAAATTTAAGGCCTTTAAATCTGAGCTGGATGTTTAACAATCGACTTCTGTGGGTTTTTTTCCAGGTATGGTCGTGTGGAGATACTTTCTGGATTCATCAATGGCCTGTTCCTGATGGTCATCGCTTTCTTTGTCTTTGTGGAGTCTGTCACACGAGTGTTGGATCCTCCTAACATAAACACAGACATGCTGACTGTGAGTAAACTGCATCTGTCACTTCATGTAAAGGCTTGTGACTGAATGTCCTGATTTAAGTTAAGTATCTGCTAATACAGAGTCTTCCTCAGATATGTAGATTTTCCTACATGCACACTGAACAATGGAAATATTATTTCAGTTTAGAATTGAGTATTATTGTCAGTGTAAAAGCTTTGAATTGAGAACAAATTACATGCATCATTCACTCTTAAATCCAACTCCATTCTTGCGTCTCAAGTTGCTAATCAGTGTGTAAACTGACCAGGACACAGGAGATTAAGTTGCCCCCAGAGGCTAACTCGTCGTCGGACTGATAACAGATTGGTTCTGAGATTGATGTTAGGGAACATCTGTGTGCCATCAGTTCTTAATGGTCTTTCATCGAGTCACTAGACATCGTCAGTCTGATCTCTGAACTGTTTTTGTCCCCTGCAGCCGGTGTCTGTCGGAGGCTTACTGGTCAACCTGGTGGGTATCTGTGCTTTCAGTCACGCTCACTCCCACGGCGGCAAAAGCTGCTCCTCACACGACCACGGTCACTCTCACCATGGCCACTCCCACAGCGAGCACAGCCACGGAGGCCACGGCCACTCTCATGGAGGGCACGGGCACGGTGGACACAGTCATGGCGGGCACAGCGGACACGGGCATGGTGGACACGGGCACTCCCACGGCTCAGGGGGCGGAGGCATGAACGCTAACATGAGAGGTGTGTGTTCCGTTGATACCCCCCAAAAAAAGGACTTTTTAGAAAGGAAGCTGTAGCCAGATAAAATCCTTGTGTTCTGTCTTCCAGGTGTTTTCCTCCATGTCTTAGCGGACACGTTGGGCAGCGTCGGCGTGATCATCTCCACCATCCTCATCCGTCAATTCGGCTGGTTAATCGCCGACCCTATTTGCTCGCTCTTCATTGCTACGCTCATTTTTCTCAGCGTTATCCCTCTGCTTAAGGACGCCTGCGAGGTTCTGCTCCTACGAATTCCTCCAGAAAATGAGAAGGACCTGAACAGTGCTCTGGAGAAGGTGAGGAGTCAGACACGATGAAGTCACTGCAGCTGATGTTGTCATTCGCTAGAGTGCAGAGGTTTTTGACCCAGGGAAGCGCAGTGTCGAGTGTGAAGTAGTTAAGATTAGCGGTTCTTGGGAAACAAGATGTCCCTTTTTCTTGAAACAACAGATCTATTATAATGTAGTACCCACATCAAGATTCAAAAAGGTTCTCAAGCATTATCATTTTCCTTAGCAACAGTGAAACATTTCTACACCATCAGCAGAAGCTGAAAAAGCTTTTGTGGTGTTAAGTTTTCTGAGTGTTATTTCAGATCGAGAAGATTGAAGGAGTGTTGTCGTACAGAGATCCTCACTTCTGGAGGCATTCAGCCAACATGATCGCAGGGACCATCCATCTCCAGATCATGCCAGATGTGGTAGAGCAGAGGATCATACAGCAGGTCTGTACAAACAGTAGAGTCAGGAGTCAGCCTCCTTGCTCTGACATCTTTCCATTTAATGCATGTATAGGTCCTGTTTGTGCATGTGTGTGTATTTCAGGCAGGTGTGTATATGACAACAGAGTGAAAAATTGAATTTCCCCTTGAGGATTAATAAGGTATACCTTCTTCTTCTTCTTCATAGGTGACGGTCATTTTGAAAGACGCAGGGGTGAACAATCTGTCGATCCAGGTGGAGAAGGAGGCTTACTTCCAGCACATGTCTGGACTTAGCACAGGATTTCAGGAAGTTCTGGCAATGACGCAGCAGATGGAGTCCATGAAATACCTTAAAGACGGGACGTGTATCATGTAACGACCATCTGCTGGACCAAGTGAAACTTTCCTGAGTCAACCCTTTTTCATTGAAATGTACAGTATATGTATGTATGTGGTTAAAATAAATCTGAATATATTGGTTTTATTTTTGTGTCTGCTGCGTTTTGAATTTGTGTGCAGAAAAAATACTTTGTTTTTCTGCTCCAAACATTCGATATTTAACAGACTTACTTGTACCAACAAAGAAAATGCCTTTAGATTGTCGCGATACTTAAAAACTAAAAACTCACTGCATTGAGAAAAACATTTAAATATAAGTCCAATGAAATGGGTCGATGGCATGTTCATAGCAATAGCTGTATAACACTTTAATAGGAGATGTAAAAAGACAACATACTTACAGTTAATATGTTTAATAAGTGGTCTTAATGTGTAAGGATACAAATCTGCATCTTAAAGTAAAGGCAGTGTGGATATGTGCACTGTCATGGAAAAACTTTTAAGTATTGACATTAGCAACCAAAAGGCAGCACTGTCACGCTAAAAGTCAAGGTTTGCTTTACCAACTAATCAGTGTCATACTTAACATAATCAGCCCTTCTTTGTCTGACTGCTTGTCTAATAGTTCAAAAGAAATGCATTTTACTTTCTAAGGCACAGCTCTAATCCGTGGGGATTGTAGCTGTCACCTCCCACCCTGCAGGCCTAAAATTACCTGGATCCAGTAACTGCAGCTTACTGCTGCTTCTGACCAAATCCAGCTTTTAGTGGTTCAAGCCTGAAGGGCTGAAACCCTGTTGCTTTTGTGTGTATTTGGTTTTCCTAATCTTCTACATAAGTGTTTTTGCAAATTCCTCTGAGGTGGATGGAATTTTCGACAATGATTAGAAGTTGTGCGCAAATGCACAAAAAATATGGAGGCGCTATAATTAAAGGTAAAAATTTTGAACTATAAAAATATATATCCTATAAAAGAAACTTGGTACAGATGTTCATCTATACTCACTCTACAAATTTGCCTCAAGAACTACAAAGTAAACAAGATTTTCCGCCATTTTGAATTCTTTGAGAATAGGTTTGATTTGTATCAAATTTTCTGTGAATCATTGTTGGAACAAACTTGTCAAAAAATATCAAAAGCTTGTTGACACTTGATCAGTGAACTTTAAAGGGCTGTGTCTCAGCACATTTATAGACCAAACTCCGTAACCGCTAAGCCAATCATCACAAAATTTGTTGGAGATGCCCACATAAGAACCTGAAACATACCCTGAAAATTTTGTTGTAATTGGCCACCAGGAGGAGCTACAAATGGAAAAAGAAAAAAACAAAACAAATCAGACTATAAATCAGAACGTGATTGTCTAATCAGTTCAGAACTCGCAGGATATGTTTCATAATAACATTGAACCATCTGTGTAAAATAATTTTAAAATTGCTCAATAGGGTGCGCCACTAGTTCCAAACATGCATGGGCCTGGCGCAGTTTGGCCATTAAATAATTACGGTTTGTCCAAATGTCACCAAAATCTGAGGATGATTTTAAATTCAGCTGTTAAAACATGTTTTTGAAACTGACCAATAGGGGGCGATGGTGTTGCCAAAAAAGTGCGTAACCCAACTTTTGATTGTAAATAAACGACCGTCTGATTGTCGTAAAACCTGTTCGAAATTTTTAATGCAGGTGTCAGAAACTGTCAAAGGTCTCGATCCTCCGAAGCTTTTAACTTTTAAAGATCTGTGTAAGCTTGAATACTAATACCACAGCTTGCAGCTATATTTATTTTTCCTTTTTTTTTCATAATAATAATTTTTATTGTCATGTGTTTGTGACCAAAGAAAAGAAAACCAGAAATACCGTTGAATAACCTTCTTGTTTTATTTAAGCAATGAGCATTAATCTAATGCATATAAATGTGAAGAGAAACACAGTTAAACACACTCTCTGCTACTACAGTGAAGAGAGAAATACTGACTATGACACAACTGATATGTGTTACTCCATGAAAACAGAACTACGTGAAAAGTTTCCTTTTACCCACAATCCTGCATGTTCAGATTGACACGCAGGAGTCAGGAGTCTGTAATGTGCAAAAATAAACAGGGGTTCATGCATCCTACGCAGCTGATTTCCTCCGGCCTTCTACTCGATCTCATTGGAGGTTAGTACGGGGGCCTTGATCTCCATCACTGCAGGGGAATCAGAGAGAAATCAGAGAGCTGCTACAAACCTCAAGATAATTTACTGTGCGTGTTTTTCTTTAATGTTTAATCTTTAGCTATGTGATCACCAAATATCTTAAAGATTACCTGGGCAAGGTCCGCCTTCCAAGATAATGTCATCAATGGCGATATCACTCCTTACTGATGTACCCCTGGTCGCTTCAAACACAATCTGGGAAAGAGAAACAAAGAGAAACAATTGCTTCAAGGCCCTGAAAACATTCGTTCTCAATCAGCTTCTCACTGTAAGTGATTGGCAGTGGGAGAAGAGGCACTCAGATCCTTTGAAGTATCCGTCATGCACCAATATAGCAATGAGACAATATGTCATAAGATAAAAGCTGTGCATTTAAAATTTGACTTTAATAAAAGTACACAAGTATTATTACTGATTTTTTTTGTGTCTAAGTGACCAATGGAGGCAATAGTTTTTTGAAATTGGTATTAAGCAAGGCAAGAGTGTTGAAATGGGCTGCAAAGTAACGTTAACAAGCAAGTGTGCACCATCAGAGTATGTCCAGTAAAAGTTTTTCTTTTTGCCACTGACAAGGCTCAGATTGTTTTTATAAGTGTCACCATTATACATGTGATCCTTACAGAGACAGACCTTTTTGTTAAAGCGTAAGATCCCTTTTTGTTTAACCAGAACAAGCCCCGAAATCACCATTGCAAAACCCACCAGACTCAATTAAAACGTAAAATACACATCATTTAAAGTTGAAAAAGTAATCCACCCAATGAGATGTGAAAATCCACTGCCTCTAGACACACTAAAATGACTGCTTAATTAATGGAGTCTGGTGGGTTTGGCGATAATGATTTCGGGGCTGTTTCTGGTTATACAAAAAGTTCTGTCTCTGTAGGGATCCTTTCCATAATGCTGTCGGACACTTGTAATAATAATCTGAGCCTGTCAGTGGCAAAAACACTTTAAGTGGACCTAAATTGTTGGTGCACAAATGCCCAGAGTGGTTAGAGTGCAGTGAGTTTTGCTGCTGCCACCTGCAGCACATATAAATGTCTCCATAAAACACTGAGACATAAAAACATGGGAAAATTGTTGAAAAATACCAACGTTACATTATAAGTTTGTGTACCATAAAGGTTGCTTTAAGTATCAAAAAGTACTTGTTCTGCAAAAAAACGCCCCTGTGACTCATTAAATAATACATTAATTTGTTAATGCTGATGCATACAGATCTAGTTTTAATTCCTTTGCATATAGTCAGGCAGTTTAGTCCAGGGGCTTCCAACATAGGGTCCAGCCCCCTTTAAAAGGTAAACTTTTTTTTAATTATATTTTTTAGAGGTTATGGAATTGACATTGTGGTTGTAAATTAATCAAATAGCCAATTAACAAAAATAATCAACAGTTTTGATAATCATTTAATCACTAGGGCATTTATCTGGCAAAATATGAAGAACATTCTCTCTCTACAGCTTGTTAAAAGTGAAGATCTGTTTTTTTTTTTTTTTGTTTTATATAATTGTAAGTAATATATGTTTGGGTTTGGACTATTGACCTTTGGTTCTGGGATCTCGTGATAGAAATTTTTCACAATTTTCTGATGTTTTATAGACTAAATAGAATAAATAAAAATAGTCATACACTAATTGTTACTCAAAATAATCATTAGTTGCACTATCGGAAAAGTTATTCTTTAAAAACAGTCTTTGTAAAGTGATATAAATGTCCTTCTGTCAAGGTTGTCCATGTCTAGCACACAGATTTTAAATCTAAAACACACAGGAGACATTTTGTTGGACTCATACCTGATGCTGGCTGTCACTCTGGTACTCCACTGTGGCCCTCAGCCAGGCGACTCTCTGCTCACCGCTCAGTTGCCACAGCAACACATCCTCTCCGTCTTTGTGGAGGTGGACGCTGAGCTGACCTGTGCCTGAGCCGTACATGTGGTAGTAGAATCGCAGACACTGAGGCCCCCTGGAGCCCCTCAGAGGTCGGGACAGCAGCCGAACACTCTGACCAGGCAGCATGGGCGACGCCTCCATGTGCAGGTAATATCCTGTTAACCAAAAGTCAACAGGTTTGTGTCATTAAAGCTGTGATAGTTTTAAATGACTTTTATTGATGTGTGAGCAGCACCTGAAGAGTTTTTTTCTCTTTTTGAACATGCCCATGTTCTGTGTGCATTGACACATGTAGGCATGTGTTGTGAGCCCTCACCAAGTCCTGTGGTGTGGTCTCCTCTTGGCCCGGTGTATGAGGTCGGGGTGGGCCCTCTCCTCCACTCCCAGTCAGCCCCATCGTTCTGCTTGTCCTGAGTGTAACCGCACAGGCCCGCTTCAAAGTCACAGTGTCCTGGTAGAGACGACGACAACAAACCTGCAACAGCAGCATGAAAGACACTTTCTGTCAGGTAAGACTTGATTGTGACAACTATCAACTAACTGTTTCTGGCCGCACCTCTCACCATATTATTGTGGGTAACTCTGTAAAACTGAATCTGAATAACTGTGCATAAAAGCTGCACCCAGCACTAGAACAGTATCAGTATCAGTGTTACAGGTATAGGTTAGAAGGCTTCTGCTACTCTAACAGAATGCCATTGTCACCTTATTAAATGGCCTTTGGGAAAACTTAACGTTTCTTTATGTTTAAACAACACTGTGATTAATGTGTGGTTATGTGCAGGGACACTAATCACTTGATTGTGATTAGGAAAGGTCATCTTTTGGCTTAAAACACCCATGTTTGGTGGCACAAAAGCTGCTTGAAACACCGCAATGTGTCCTAAAAAAAACCTTTTTTAGGGCTATGTTTGGGGGCACTGAACGCCTCTGAAATGTCGA